TGGTGAATGTCGGACAAAGATCCCTTCCCGAGTGAAGTTGTTGTGCCAGTGAAATCAAGAATGTCATCTATTAATTGATACGCTAGCCCCTGCAAACACACATGGCGAGTAGAATCTGAGTCTAATATATTCATTTTTAAGGTAAAACACAGTTCCATATTGCAAGCATAGTGTTACTGAGTGACACTATTGTTGTTTTATCAGATTACAAGTACAAATGCGACAAGGGCATTATTGGATATAGTCAACACTTTTGTCCAACTAAACATCAAACATCAGGTCCACAGTCAGAATTTTTGTCCATTTAAAGGACGACAGCAGGTCCAAAAAAATTGACATATCAAACCTAAATTTAAAAATGCACATGATATGCAATAGGTAAGTATACAGACCAAATTTTTGCCATACTCGTAAGCCAAAATTGAAACTTCTGCTGTTTGCCCAGCAAGAAGAGCAATTGCCTTGCAGCTATTTGAAATCAATGATGCGGTTTTGTAGTACGTCTTTTGCATATAGTACTCCATGCTGCAAAAAGAAACAGCAACAAGAATTTTGCAAGAAGAAGATTCAAATGAATGGAAAAAAAAAATCTCCAAACAACAAATATTCCATAACAACAGGTAACTGATTGCAGTATGCAATATAAGCATGAAATCAACTGAAAATCTTGCTATCTTTTTTGAATAAACTTTGGAAATCTCTAAACTAACTTCAGAAAATGATTCGAATAAAGGCATTTCTGAATCAAAACCACTATAAAAGCGCACAAAATGTACAGACATTTCAACCATTTAAAGCCAAAGGCACAGAAAGAGAAAAGGTACAATGCCCTAGGCTGAACTCCATTGAGAATTTAGGGTTGAATATTATGCAAATAAATTTTCACATGGAACCATAAAGAATATGAAATGATGACTGACAAATTTTATGTTAAAGATACCAGATTAGCATACTTATAACGTTGATCAACTGTAGTGGTCATTTGCATGGTCTCGCCGTTCACAAGATGCTGAACAGCTGTTGCCATGAGGGTTACAACCTACAAAGATACAGCAGAAGCATTGGGAAGAGGACACAGCATTGCATTGAGTTATCAGATCATGAAGCAGAGGATATATAGGTAATAACTAGTCAACAAACACACAAGGGGCCAAAAGAAATGTAAAGGGACGGCGAATACCTCGGTATTCTTCAAAGAGGCAAGTGCCAAACATGCTCTAGAAAGAAGGAAGTCTCCGGTCAATACAGCTATCTGCAATGTTATGGAGGAAAAGGCACAGCTGAGCTTAAGGAATTTTATGTAAAAGAAATACTCTCCCTCCTACTCACTCCTATAGCAGTCATTAGTTGCT